CACACACACACACACACACACACACACAATCTCCCAGTTGGGAGAAGTCCAGGATGCCAGACTCCTCCCTTCCAAGAGAGCTGCTCTACTTCCTCCATTGCCCAGTGTGGCAGACTCTCCTTTATCACATCTTCTTTCTTCATCTCTCCAAATTGTGGGCTCCAAATCCCTTTTCTCATTCTCTCCGACTGCTTAGATTCCCATCCTACTGTAGCGCCCTCCCTGCCAGACAACCACTCCCTAAAGTTTCCTCTGCCATTTCTTTGAGATAGTATAGCCCATTGGATAACCCTTCCCATTCAAATTCTTGACTGGGAAACCCCTGAAATGTCCCAGAGATGCTCTGATGCTTGGACAAGTCATCCTCTCCTCTATTTTGTTGACATATAAAGAACAATCTAAACCGTTATCTGAAAACAATAACCACTTTTCGCTCTGCCATCTGGTCAAGCAACATGATATGCCAGTGGATTCTCACACTCCCCACTCCATACCCATCGTCCACTATGGAGCTCACCACACATTCTGTGAGTTCCCAACACTCTTCCTTGCTTCTCAAGGTCTCCATCTCTGTCCCCCTTCCTGGATGCCACTTCCCTCAATGCTCAGATGCTTCTCTGTGTGAGGGAGATGCCAGGGCATCCGAGGAAACTGGAGCAGACATCTCAATAAACTGTGTGAACTAGTGGTTGACTTTTTGCCTTCTTAGAGTCCTAAGTCTCCTCTTAGGACCTGGGTGGTGCTCCCCTATGCCTCTAGAGGTCCCATGTCCCCCATTTTCATTCATAAGTTAGTTGGCCCAGTATTTTTCCTATACCTTACAGCTCCTCCCACAAAGAAAGAAAACAATAAATATTTGTTGAACTGAAAGTAGAGGTAGCCTAATCTCCCAGATCCCTTCTCCCACTCCTCTCTCTCATTGTTCCAGGAAATGCATTCTCTCTCCCCTCCCCATTCACCTGGATCCTCCCTATTCCCTATAGAGTCCTAATTATTTTCTCTCCCTCCCCACCCAAACTCTTTCTCCTCACCTTCTAGATGCCATCCTCTCTGGGAGTCCTGAGTTTTGATTTCCTGGGTTTCTGGGACACCTGGACCTGATTCCTGGTGACCAAGTAGGAGCCCAGGCGGGGATTGTTCTGGGAACTGGGGGTGGAGAAAGTAAAAGATAGCAAGGATGAGAGCCAAGCATTGTGACTCACCGGCCTACATAAAAATGTCCCAGGCAATGGAAGAACAGAGCCAATAGTGTCTCTTCCTCCTCTGCATTCTGCTCCCTCTGCTGCAGTTCTAGAGTGAGAGCTGTGGGAGGTGAGAGAATAGAGAACTAGAGTGCAGAAGGGGAGGTGGCCTCTATGGGAGAAAAAGAGAGAAAGTGAAGAGGGTGGTTAGGACCATATGACTACGTCCTGGAGACAGGCCAGGGAGACACTGAGGTACAGGAAATTCTTACATCCCAAGGAGGGGAAAGTGGGCATGCTTATTGCTACAGGAAGGGCCTCACCTCAAAGCACAGGCCACCTCTTAGAACCTATGCTTGGCTGCAAAAGAATTCACCCTATCCTAAAATTGAAACCATTTCCTCCTATTGGGAGAGTGTCAGCTGGTCCCAAATTTAGGACTACTGTTGAAATTCCAAGTCCCGAACTAGCATAAATGCGTTACATTGCTCAGAAATGATCTGGGACAGCTGACCCAATCTGCATGGTTGACTGAAGTTGGAGGAAGGCTCTAGAACGGTCTTGTTTCTGTCATCACTGTTCTGTCACCCTTAGTCTGGCATCTGGCCCCTGGACTGCAGCCAATGACAGGAATCAAGGCCTTCGGAGGCTGCAGGAGGGGTACAGCCTCTGAAGTGGGGATTTCTCTAGTCTCTGGTGTGGTCCAGGTCAAAAGGTTTTGCAAAACTGGTGGATATCACCCCAAAAGGCTGTTGCCCTCTACCCACTGGTCAGTTCTGGAGAGGACTCTTCATTCTTCCAGTAGCTAGCCAGCAGGAGCTGGGATGAGGACAGAATCGTAAAATTTAACAGCTGCTATTTAGACTTCATGAAACCAGGGAAGCCTAGTCTGGGTGTGTCCTGGAGGCATCAGAGAACGAAGGCATTTAAACACTTTTTGTTGTAAAAATTTCAAGTGTACTTAAGAGTGGACAAATAGTTAATGAATACTTATGCTCCCGTCACCTAGTCTTAACAATGATCAACTCACGGTCATTTGACAACAGCATTCAAATGCCCTCTACTATTAGTTAAAAACAACTGCTGGCTTGCACTTCTCTCTCTCTCTCTGTCTCTCTCTCTCGCTCTCTCTCTCGCTCTCTCTCTCGCTCTCTCTCTCGCTCTCTCTCTCGCTCTCTCTCTCGCTCTCTCTCTCGCTCTCTCTCTCGCTCTCTCTCTCGCTCTCTCTCTCGCTCTCTCTCTCGCTCTCTCTCTCGCTCTCTCTCTCGCTCTCTCTCTCGCTCTCTCTCTCGCTCTCTCTCTCGCTCTCTCTCTCGCTCTCTCTCTCGCTCTCTCTCTCGCTCTCTCTCTCGCTCTCTCTCTCGCTCTCTCTCTCTCTCTCTCTCTCTCTTGCTCTCGCTCTCGCTCTCGCTCTCGCTCTCTCTCTCTCTCGCTCTCTCTCTCTGTATTTCTTATATTCCGTGGACGGATCAGACCATCTGTGGTAGGAAGAATGATGCCCCGCCCCCAACGTTGTTCACATCCTAATCCCTGGAAACTGTAAATATATTAGGTAACCTAGCAAAGGGAAATTAAGGTCGCAGCTGGAATTAAGATTGTTAGTCAACTGACCTTAAAATAAACAGATTATCCTGGATTATTTGGGTGGATCCAATGTAATCATAAGGGTCTTTAAAAGTGGAAGAGGAAGAGGAAGAGGAGATTAGAGTGATGCAATGTGAGAAGATCCTGCTGCTTCTGTCTTTGAACATGGAGAAAAAGACCATGAGCGAAGGATCTCACGTGGCTTCTAGGAACTGGAAAACGTGAGCAAATGGATTCTCTCCTAGAGCCTCCAGAAAGGAACCTAACCCTGCTGACACCTTGATTTAAACATGGTGAGACCTATGCCAGAATTCCAATCTTCAGAATTGTAAGATAATACATTTGTGTTCTTGTAAGTCACTAAGTTTGCGGTTATTTGGTACAGCAGCAATGGGAAGTCACTACACCACCATCTCTTAAGGATGGTGACGAAGTCTGTTTCTATAAATACAGGTCTCATCCAAGACAACCCCTCAAATGGGGGCCACTTCTGTACCCCAAAACCTTCTGCGGGTTGGAGTCAAGACAAAGGAGCTATATGGATGCATGAGAAAGGGTTGCTGGGAGAGAATGATCTGGATCCCAGAGAGAAAAAGAGATCCAAGTGTATTGTGAGAAGGCAATGAAGAGATTGGGAAACCAAGGGTAAAGGTCGCATGTGCTTGGTGCAATGAGCCGGGTAAGAATAGGGCTGGCAACTAGTGATGAGCTCTGAGCCAGGGCACCTGGGTCAGGAAGGGGTGGGGAGCTTGAGGAAAGGAGCCAGGGCGGGAACACTCAGCTTCCCTGGGATATTCAAATGACACCTGTTGCCACAGACCACATCAGGAATGAGGATGGAATGTAGAGATTTATTGTCTCCACAACCACTGACCCAGCCTGTTTCTGCTGTCCCCGCCCCACTAACAGGATAAAAGGCTGGCTGTCTTGAGGCCAAGGGAGATGCTAGAGCTGAATAAGATGGAGGGCTGTGTGGTGGGGAGCTGGGCTCCTCTGGGCTTGCTCCTGGTCTGCCTTCATCTTTCAGGTATAGAGGCTGTGCTGGCCCTTGGGCAGGAGGGAACTGGGGGTCCTGGGGAACTGGAATTAAGGGAAGGGGTAAAAGCAGAACAGTGCACCCTTAGGTTCCTAGGGGAAGAAAGAGTGGGTTTTGGAGAAGTAAAAGGACTCAAAGCATAGGGAATCAGGAAATCAGTGAAGGAGGGCTTTCCTTAAGTCCTCTTTGCCTGGAGTATCCTTCTCTTCCCTTTCCCTAAGGCCTCTTTGCCCGGAGCATCGGTGTAGTGGAAAAGAAAATTCCCCAAGACTTGAGGACCAACTTGCCTCTTCTTCGACAACCTTCCTTGACTGGCCTCTCCAACTCCAAACATCCTCAGTCCAAACCAGACTCTAGGGCTAATGATTTAGCAAGGGTTCTTCTGAAGCCCAATGCTTCTCCATCAGACGGCTCTCAACCAGCAGGAGGTTCTGGGGTTCAGAGATGGCCCCCTTCTTGGGGGCTGCCCTCCATGGATTCCTGGCCCTCTGAAGATCCTTGGCAGATGGTGGCTGCTGCGATGGAGGATCAGATGGAAGAAGTGCCGCCCGAAGAACTGTCTTTGCCTTCTAGTGTTGTTGCCCTCCCCCTGGGAGGTGGGTCCTCTGCAGGCCCCTCGCCTGAGGCTTCACTGCTCCACCAGGATGCTGAGTCTAGGCAGCTACCCCGTTCCAACGTGCAGAGAGCCCAAGGAGAAATCATTGCCCCAAACCCACATTGGTCTCTCATCAAGAGGATTCAACAGCCACTTCTGCCAGGTCACCCCTGGGGGACCTTGAGTCCCAGTGTGTCCTGGGGTGGAGGTCCTGGAACTGGATGGGGAACAAGGCCTATGCCACACCCTGTGGGAATCTGGGGTATCAATAATCAATACCCAAGTTCTAGCTGGGGGAATGTTAATCGGTATCCAGATTCCAGCTGGGGGAATATCCATCTACATCCAGGCATTAATAATAAGTTTCCTCTCCGAGTTCTCTATCCTCCTGGCTCTTCTTGGAACATGCCAGCTGACTTCCCCAATCCTCAAAACCCTGGGTCGCAGTGGGGTTAGGAGAATGACAGAAGGGGAAACCCCAAATTGGAAGTGAAAGAAGGGAGTCCTGCTTCCACTTCTTGCAGTGTGAGCTAAATCAAGATTTAATCAGCATAGTTTGTAGCACCATCTCCCCTACTACCCCATAATGATTGCCAATAAAACACAAGCAGTTATTGAATCTGCTCCTTCGCAATGTCTTTTCTTCTGGGTACAAACTGAAGCGAGTTTTGTCCATCCCCATTTTCTAGCCGTCTCCAAGTCTCTCTAAAGACCTTCGGATGCTCTCTTGTTGTCCCTATCCTTAGCAAAATATCAAAGCCCAGGCATTTGGGGGTGGAGCCTCATGGTCTCACCTGGCCAGGTGGGAGAGCTGGTTCCAGAATTGTCCTAAAATCTGACAAAGAAAAGAGGGGCAAGAGGATTAACTGAGATGGCACATGTCAGCACCGAGCTGACCGAGAAGGGAAAGTTTCGGTGGTGAGACCCCCAGTTGGAAGAATGCATGAGGGGCTGACATGAGAATGAAATGGCAGGCATCGCCTTTATTGCAGAGAGCACACTTCTATTGTGGGGGACCGCATGGGCTCCACATATATCAGAGTACAATAGTGGCATTCCGCCACACGTGTTATGTAATAAGCTGAATGTTTACATATGTTCGGTACAGGAGCCCTACTACATTAATGTAACATTCTATTCTAAATCTTGGGTCCTATTTCTAGCTGTGAGCCTGGATCACAGCCAGACCTGGGACCCGCCAGGCCTGGGGCCCACAGCACCTGTGGCAGGATTGAAGGATGAGATCCAGGAAGTTGGTACCGGGGCCAAGAGGAGGACGAGTACCCTTTGATTCACAGAGAAACAGAGAGTCAGAGAAAATCATTTTGTCTATGTTTATCTTTTCTTCCCCAGGAAGTCAATCTTCTTGGAAGCCAAGGGTGTGCTGATCTCCTCCCTTCCATGCATCACTTGGCACATTGTGCCCCAAAGAACCACACACTTTGAACATTTGCTAAATAAATAGCAAACCTTAATAAAGGAAGAAAGTAAAGGGAAAAGGAAAGGGAGAGAAAAACCTTGAGCCAACAATACCACCTATGGCTGCATTTGATGTTTTTATTCCCCAGTGATGGCACTTCTTTTGGTCACACTATTTCTCTACCCTCCCTTTGATTTTCCCAGGAACTTGGCATTTTTGTACAGATGCTGGAGTGAGGTGGAGGAGGGGAGTCATTCTAAGAAGGCATAGAGGGAAGTTAGCCAGCTGGGGATGATGGGGTTTCCAGAGGGCATATGTCTTTTCCCGCGTCGTGTGTGTATTTCACTGGTCCAGATGTATGTACCCTCTGTACAGCCTGGGGATCTCCCCTGGTCCTGGGAATTGGAAAGGTTGTTGGGGAGGAGGTGGAAGGAAGATAAACACCAGAACTGGAGAGATGTGGAGCTACTTGCCTGAGCGGGAGGTGGGTGTTCTCAGAGAAAATTCCCCTGCCCCAGTGTCTGCCATCATACTCCATCCTGCACCAAGAATTCCTCCTCGGGACACTTTCCTATCAACAACCACTCCTGCTTCTCTACCACCTCAACCTCCTCCCCCAATTTCTTCCCATCTTAGACTCAGGGTTTCTCCCTGTCCTGGTTCTGTGGTTTTGCCTTCAACACCTGTCTCTTCTCTCAGGCTTGTGGTCTCATTTCTCTCTATCCCTCTTTCTGGTTGCCCCAATCCCCAGTACCACAAGTACAGGGACTTTGTTTTGTTCACTGCTGCACCCTCAAAACCATGGACACTGTCTGGACCAAGATCGGCACTCAGCAAACAGAGCGAAGCCCCACCCCCACCACCTCTCTCAGGTTCCTCTGCTTTCTCTCTTCTTTCACCTTATTCGCAAGCCACAGGGCTGCACCACAGACTCTAATCTGTACTTTTGTGTGACCTTCCCACAGCCTAACTGACATTTTTTTACGAACAGCCCAGAGCCCTTCTCAGCTCATAAAATGCTCTGTACATTCCATCATTTAACCCTCACTACCATCCCTGAGGAAGGCGTTTAAGATAAAGAAACTGAGGCTCAAAGGGATCGAGCAATTTACACAAAGTTACATAGCTAACAAGTGACAGAGTCAATGACTCAAATCTAATTTTTGTCATTATCTGTCCAGGGAGGGTTCTAGTACAATACGCAATTAACAAAAACTCATCTGACTTTTATTGAGTACCACTATGTGCCAGACTCTGGATGAGGTGCTTGCACACACACCCTTGCAGCTAATCCCCACAACAAACACATTAGATGGATACTGCTGGGCCCACTGTACATGTGGGGATACTGGGGCCCAGAGAGGGCAGCGAGCTAAGGCTTGCACAGAGGTAACACTGAGCTGAAGGAGTCTGTGCTGATGGAGGGTCCCAGAGTAGCTGTGGTCAGCCCTGTCAGAGGCCTGTGCCTTAAGGTAGGTTGTTAAAAATATATTCCTGATGGATTAGTAACCTGTGACATAAGAGAGCTCCTAAGGTTTGTGGTGCAAGTGGTGGCTGGTGTATTGAGTTTTTTGTATTTGTTAGTGGTTAATTGGTGGGAGTGGTGGCTGGAGTCATAGGAGTCATGTCTCCTCTCCTAGGAGAGAGGGAAGGGGCTGCAGCAGAAAGAGCACTTGTCTAGCAGCCAGAATACAGAGGTTCCCCTTCTGTGTGCTCATGCAGCCTTCTCTGCTGTGTCAATTTAGGCGAGTCATTTACCTCTGTGAACCTTAGTTTTCTTATCTGTCATATGGGATGAAAGTAGTGTCCAGTCTCTCTCACAGGGTAGTTAGGAAATTTGATTAAGATAATGATAAAGTGCATTAGAGACTGAAAAACTCCGAGCAACTATAACAGATTGATTATAATGCAGTACGTTGTCCCTGAGGCAGTGCTGATGGGACCACACAAAACAAAAGTTCTCAGCCCCACAGAAGGAAGCTGGTCTGGTGGGGTGGCCGTAGTCAATGGTTGAAGTTGGTGTGATGCTTCCCACTGGAACTCACACTCAAGAGAATTATTCCAAGATCAAGAAGGAAGAGCTGGCTTCTCATTTAAGTATTTTATTCCTCAAACTGTGTTTGCTCAGATGTTTTTCTCTTACACACTCTTGGATGATAATAATAATAGCTTCCTTTATCATATATTCACCATGAGCAAAATGTGTTACAAGGTTATTTCAATTCTCACAACAGTTCTAGGATGTACTCATTCTTATTATTTTCATTTTATAGGTGAAGAAACTGAGGCTCAGCAAGGTTAGGTAACTTGCCCAAAGTCACACAGGCAGTAAGAGGTGGAGCTTGGCTCTGGTACCATTTGGAAACTGCAAGCATGGTGGGCAAACTGCCCAGAGCAGGTGAAGGTGAGATTCTTCAGCCCTGACAGCTTACACACCACCTGGAGTCCTCCCTCCAACAAGTGCATTTGTGCCCACCTTTTCATGTCACCTGAAGACCAGCAGTCAGGCTTCGGTTTTATCTCTCTCTCTGGACCAAAGGCCTACCTCTTTTGTTCCTTTTATCATTAAATTGAAAGGATGTCCCTGTTGTCAGCATTCTGCTGTCACTGTCAGGGAACTAGCAAGACACCCAGGAGACAGTCACCTTTACTAACCCATATTGTCACATATGTGAGTGACTACACAAGCCCTGAGGAATATCCGTCACGCACCAGGGTTTCTAGTTCTATCCATGTATAAAAAATCCTGGTCACGGAGGCCTGTACCATCCAGGGTGGGGATAGTAGGAGGAGAATAGGAGTTTCAGGTCTTGGAGACGTGGTTATGGCCGAGGTAGGAATGAACATTTTTGTACTCTCAGTAGCAGTGGCTGTTCTAGGGGTTATTGTTGGCCCCACAGAGATTAATGGGGGGGGGATATGGTTTATCTCAAGGTGGTAGTAAAGCTGGTGCGATAGTTGTTTTTCTAAAGATGTGGCTAGGCTGATGTGAATTAATTTTCAGTCTGAGATGGTCTCTGGCTACACAAGCCCCACTGCGGGAAGGTGGTAGAAACCGTTGTGGAATTTTTTCAACACCATTCAGTCCTTCCTGGCCTCAGGATGGCAGTTATGACTGATGGAGTGGAAGCTGTTTTCTTTAGCACCTTTCCCACTGTCCCTCTGTCTCCCTTCTCCGTATCCTTTTTCTGTGCTCAAACTGCCCCCCAGCTACCCAGGACCACCCATCCGTGTTCTCCCCTGGCTGGGCCTGACTGCCTGTCTCCTGTGCTGGACTTTTCCCCTTGCCTCACCCCGTCAGAACCCTCCTGTACCCCACTGATTCAAGGCTCTCTGTTCACTGTGACATTTTAATATTCTGGATTCAGAAGAACTAACTGTTAGTGATTAACAGGGCGAAGGTGATGAGCTTAGAAAGATAAAACCAATCCACTGTGTTAGTGGACCCTTAACTATCTGTCCCCAGCACTCAGGTGCTCCTTTCCTGGGACATACTGCCATTATCTAAAAAACTTTAAGGCATTTCTGTCTAATGTAAATATTGTTACCTTTATGAGTTTCTAAAACAACATTTAAGCATTAAACCACATTCCTCTATTTACACACTACTTACACAACTACTACATAAAAACTTATGGACTTAATAGACAAAATTTGTTCAAACATTAAATATTGTTCACACTGAAACTGATTTAAGCATTTAATTAAAATCTTCAGTCTGATATATAAGATTCTCTTTAATGTCTTAAACCCTCTAAGAAACAAATGCAAGAGTTGTTATAATGATTACAAAACTGATTACTGCCACTAAAAATCACTCTCACCTGGCTAGGGCCTATTTGAGCTACAAAAGGCTAGTACTGTGGATATAAACTCATATTTTTTTTCATTCTCCTTTATCCTTTTCTATTCCTGGCTTACCTTTCCAGGATGATAGTATTTTCTATTTTTATACCATCCTGAGATTTCAGTAATCTCAGGAATTACATTTTGACCACTTGAGTCTTGGCTGGACATGAGCCTGGTTGGACAATTCATGGCTCAAGCCTGTGCTGCTAGTCACCAGCACGAGCTGCCACTCTGTCTCCATCTTCTCCTCTGCCTCCTGCCCTCCTTCCTTTCTCTCTTGACCAGTATTGCATAACACA